CTGATTGCGTTTAGTACATAAATCAGTAACAAACGCAACATGGTTTTTGCAGTTTTGGACTCATTCTTTACTGCTTGCTCCTGCGCCTGCATTAAGATACAGCGTCTTTGACATCATACTGCATAACACATTTAAAAGAAAACAATTCATTGAAGAAGTTTTTATTTAATTTGAAAGATTTTTTTTCCTGCACTTCTTCGATATTCGGTACATAAATATATACTCGTAATGAATGCTGACGATATCTTATCGTTATCTTCAAGATATGGCAGTGACACACTAGCTCTGTTAACTGACACTTGTCAGTATTAAATATACCTTCTTAAGTCGTGTTAGTGGTATCACAATTAAAGATTTTATTACGTGTAAGTGTGTGTCGTGAACTTTTGAATAAGGTGCCAGATAAAGGAGCTTGCGGATGAGATAACGTAACTGTGGTAAGTCTTTTATTTGATTTGATCATAATTAAGATAGCTTCAAACTATTCTATTTGTTTTGTTTATTACTTGTTAAAATATTATCAAGGTTTGATATTCGGAGTGGTATCTGGCTTGTTGGTCTCGCTAGTGGTTAGGCCGGGCAGTGATTCTGAGATCTTTGGTGTGATTCCCAACAAAGAATAAAAAAGTGTATTAAGCACGATTATTTGTTCGATGTTTGGGTGTAATTTATCTATAATATGTATATATTTAAAAATAAATATGTATGTTAAAGAGAATTCTTGTTACGGATCGTGCGGCTTTGTTGGAGATGTGTCAAGTTATATAAATAAGGTGGGAAAACTGTGTCTAAACTCAAGTTGTCTGAAATTCTGATACTTGTCGTAAGTGATACCAGGGCTTAATACATTTTTTAAGTGTTTTTATATCTTGATGTCTACGATCGGTATGTATTTTTAATTGGATTATTATGTAGTTGTTTTGTTTATTTCTTAACCATCATCTTATCAGTTGCTTTCTACTGTCTGCAGTGGGCATACTTCTCCTCTTAATTTCGCAAGCCGTCATCCTCTGCTTTCTTTCTATTCTCTATTTTGCCGTTAATAGTATACAATTTTGATGTGTCCTTCTCGAGAAGTGGCACAGCTTGTATTAACTGTACCACTCACTCACTCAGATGTGTCAAATATTGAGTTATCTTCGCTTTATTCAAACTTCATAAGTGATGAAATTGAGATTGACAGCTAAATGTTCAATTGTTCTTAGGATTTATGTAAATAGGAAGTTTATAAATAGTACAATATCCAACAAACATCTTTTTTTAACTTGTGGAAATCCCCTCGGGCCGTCACCCTGCCAGGGTTTGCGGCAGGGTGCTCTGTCAGTAAAACCGTGTGGTGACGGATTAAGAATACAGAGTGTCACCACCCCTATTCATCAAGTGGGTGTCGTAAGAGGCGACTAAGGGAGAAAACTACGCAGGACAACAACACTGCAGAGAGAAGGAAAACTTGAAACAAACCCTATACCAACCCGTCTGGCCAGCGTGGTATAGTAGGCCAAAACCTCCTTTCTAAGGGGAGGCCTATGTCCAGCAGTGGACTATTAAAGGCTGTTGATGTTGATGACTAGTAAAACCACACGGTGTGCCGCTCTGCGCCTGAAATAGGAGGGACTCGGGAACTGCTGTTATTATGACAGGCGGACCAACTAACAACCATTTTACATTAGGGTTCTGAACTAATTTTTGGCCTCTTATTATTGAAAATATATTAATTTAAGAGGAACGGTACAATAAATAAAGTTAATGATTATGATATAAGAGGCAAACGAGTTGACAATAAACGTCACTATTTTGGCAACAAATGGGACGCAACTTTGGGAATGTTGTTGGTGTGCGGTGCACGCTTTGCATGGCTGCCCTGGTTTCCTGCAACTCAGTAGTCACAAGTGCATTACTGGCATCGGCCCTTTAAGTTGGGAGTACACTCTTTTCTTGAAGGCTTAAAGGTCGTGTCGATCCGGAAATACCGCAGGCAACAATTTTTTTCTTTAAAAAATACAACTCCCGCATTAGGAATATATCCCGTGTCGCGGGGGACTTTACAAACATGCATGAAACGTACACAAAGAACACCCAGACTCAGAACAACAATTTGTGGATCACACAAAGTGTCGTCCTATGTGGGGATTGGACCCACAACACTCAGCGTAGTAGTAAATGGCGTGGCGACCGCTTAAACCACTACGCCATCAGTGTAGTCATTTGTTCTACAGATTGGTTGCGCGAGGCAACAAGTTTCGTAAAAAACAAACTGTGGTGGAATTACAAGTAACTGAATGATCCATTTAACGATAGTGGAAAGATATTCCTTAAAGCACTACCCATGATACATCCGATAGGGAATGCAGAGTGAAGCTACATCTCTACGCAGCGCCAAGGGCTCAAGGCGATCTCAAATATCTTGGTATTCGACGACTCAAGTCTCCAACGTATGCAGTCCATGTGGTGAAGGTCCTGAAGTGCCTCGACTAAGATATAATTATAGGCGGATTGCCAGAGTGCAATACTGATTCGATCATTTCAACACGTCAAGCAGTTTCGAGGCTAAATTGTCCTTATCCTCTAAGTGACTGCGAAACTGGGCTTTGGTTGATATCTCTACCGAGGTGATACGACAAACGATATCTTTATGGTGTTGTAGTGACAATGCCCATAGTAGCAACGACGTTTGATGATAAAATCTACTATATGAATGACTAGCTGGACCCACATAACTTTGTCTGCTTCTCTTAAAACGAATCAATCTTGCCCGGTTTTGCAACATTAATTCTTGTGGCGATTCAAAGAAACAGAAACATACTACAGCGCCATCTAACGAAGATATACCGAACTACAGAGTAACTAGAGAATGAGAATTGCTAATCCTGTATCGCGATATGAAGATCCCTCTCGCCGATTAGCGTAAATACAACTACCCAACATCAACCGTTGGGCCGTGGCCAGGCGTGATCAAGTCGCCTGGGCGGAGGATCCTCCCTTTGTGTTGCAGGGACATGACACTTGTTCCTCCATATAGCCGTCTTTATCTCGTATTATTCTTCTTTCTTCTTTATAAAGGGCTATCCCACACTGAAATAATTTTTCAATCCGAGCCAGTAAATCATGAAATTCAACCAAACAAACAAACCCTTCATGATATTTCTAGTATCAATCGCAATCCATATAGATAATCTGCTTTATAATATTTCGAGTAGTATAGATATCCGCTAAAAGTAAAACACATACTTTAGCGCCATCTAGTAAACCCAAGAGTAACGAACACCGAAAACCGAAAAATGAAAAATTAGGCACCGAATACAATATAGTCAATTTGTATGATGAATATGAAATCCTTGTCCTACATTTTGATTATTTATTTAAGGTAAAACACTAAAATAAATCACAGTGTCAAGAGTACGGTGTGATATGAATGCCTCTTATTTGTATGTCAAAAACAAATGCATATTTTTATCGGTCGCTAAGATTAGTTACGGAGATAAAACGCAAAGTTATCCTGTTGTAGGTCATTTACTTCTAAGGTAGTGTGGAGGAACGGGTGTCATGTCCCTCCAACACAAAGGGAGGATCCTCCGACCAGGCGAGGTGATCATGCCTGGCGGGCCGCGGCCCAACGGTTGATGTTGGGAAGTTGTATATATGCTAATCGGCGAGGGAATTCTTTATATCGCGATACAGGATTAGCAATTCTTATTTTAGTAGTTACTCCGTAGTTTGGTGTGTCTTCATTAGATGGCGCTGTAGTATGTTTCTGTTTCTTGTATGTGGGAGTCGCCACAGTAGTATTATTTTTCTTGATATGGTTATTAATATGCTTTTCAAGGAACGGATTTCATGTCCCTCCATACTAAAGGAGATCCTCTGTGATCAAATGTGCCGCGTTTTAACAGTTCATCGAACTTTTCTTCTCGCCCCTGGTGGAGAGAGAAAACTATTATGAACGCTGGGTTTCTCATAGTGGAATTCCTCGCGGCTCACCACAGTCATTGTGGGTTTTCTGCAGGGTGTATCTCCGTAGAGGGAGCCGCCCATGAGTGTTCTTAGGTGCATCTGAAAAGGGACCTGGTGAGCAGCCTATTAGCGATCGGTGGTTCACCATTTACACCCGATATTGATGATCCGCTTAAGAAAGCTGAAATACTGAGCGGGACGGTTTCCGAGGAGGATAATGTTAGAAAGTTGTATATTTGCGAATCGGCGTAAGGGCTTTCATTGTGCGATGCATGATTACTACCTAGTTACTCCGTAGTTCGTTGTGTCTTCGTTAGATGGTACTACAGTTTATTTCTCATGCTTTCGCTCCCTGTCACAATTTTGATTCGTTATTGGAAGTCTTGACTTCCAATAACGAGTGGCTCAGTATAATAAAATTGTTATCTTCGATCTACTTGGAAAGAAATGATTTATTAGGATAATTTGGTTCACCTAATTACAGACCCGCGGAGTAGTAATAAATCACGATAACTATTTCTTTATTAAGAATACAGAGTGTCACCACCCTTATTCATTCGTGGGTGTCGTAAGAGCCGACTAAGGGAGAAAACTACTCAGAACAACAGCACTGCAGAGAGAAGGAAAACTTGACACAAACCCTATACCAACCCGTCTGGCCAGCGTGGAACAGTAAGCCACAACCTCCTTTCGAAGGAGAGGCTTATGTCCAGCAGTGGACTATTAAAGGCTGTTTATGATGATGATGATTTCTTTACCCAATATTTAGATCGAAGCATAACATTTGTGATAACATTTACATAACCATATTATAATCATATAACCACACACATATACATAAAACAACCGCCATCTACGCAAAAATTTAAAAAACAACTGTTACAAAAGTCTCACAAATTTGGTTTGATTCAATAAATAATTTATATTGTTTTACTCTAAGTAAACCATCCCTGTGCTTCACTTCTATTGTACAAGACATTTAAAACGAACACATTTTTTTCAGATATCGTCTCTTTAGATGCAATTCTAGAAAGAACAAAACAACCAAGATGTTAGCCGCAGCAGCAAACACGCTCGCTCCGCGTTTGATTCGCATCACCCACAGAAAACCCATCATAGAAAACATTGTATTTAAACTACACTATCAGATGACAGTGACGATGCTCATAGCCTTCGTGATTCTCGTCTGCGCTCGGGAATACTTCGGAGACCACATTAGATGTATCTCAGACCAAGGTGTACCTGACCATGTTATCCAGACTTATTGTTTCTTCATGGCTACGTTTACTATTGTAAGTTGCTACTTTTACTGCCAATGTTTTATGTTATAGGGGGGCTGACGGGTTACCTGACGGTAACTACCACCTCCCATGGATACTCCTCCTCCCCAGAATCAGAGGGAAGGGTGTTTGGGTTTCGGGAACCTCACTAGCTCGGTGAAAGTTATGAAATTGTTTAATACCGGTTATCATAAGACACATTCCAATATATAATACCTTTGTATTAAAAAAAATAGTTTTTAAATGAAAAATAAATTAAATTCAAAGTCAAGTCAACGGTGAAACTCATTTCTAACGTCGTTTGTAACAAGAGAAAGAGAGAGAGAGAGAGAAAATTTTCGTTTTTAAAAAATCCATTCTTTTTAAGATAACTGATCTATTTTTGACCTATAATATCAGCACACAAGTCTGTCTGTCTTCAATAGTCTAAAAACCACTCTAAGCCGAAATATTGTCTGGCATTGGACATAACTATAAAAAAACTTCAGCAAATGTACATGTTCCACGCCTGGTGATGGTGATAAAGCCAGCTCGTAATACAAACATCATTCCATAGGTGGCGCACTTTTATTTTGTGACCACTTAGAATTCTTGTCTGCGAAATGGCACTAGTAATGATGTCAGAGAAGAATGGATCATGCCAATCAAACCTTACTTCTGTGGCTACTTCCACATACCTACAATGAAAACAAATATACTCCAGTGCCATCTCCATGCCATGCCAGTGCCAGATACACCGCACAACTAATGAACTGATCCTGTATCGCGATTTAAACAATTCAACTTGTCTGGCCAGCAAGATAGTTGCGTAAAACCTCCTTTCTAAGAAGAGAACTGTGTCCAGCAGTGGACTGATGATAATTATTTTTTCCTATAGTTCTTTTTCAATCACTAATTATAGATGTCGAATGTTAGCCCTGTTTGTAATTATTTCTTTATTGAACACCGCACCAGATACACCGCACAACTAATGAACTGATCCTGTATCGCGATTTAAACAATTCAACTTGTCTGGCCAGCAAGATAGTTGCGTAAAACCTCCTTTCTAAGAAGAGAACTGTGTCCAGCAGTGGACTGATGATAATTATTTTTTCCTATAGTTCTTTTTCAATCACTAATTATAGATGTCGAATGTTAGCCCTGTTTGTAATTATTTCTTTATTGAATACTGCTTTTATCGTATCGAACATTTTATTGCTCTACGAGTATTTGTATCTTATCTGGCCTCTTGAGAATTTCTCGTGACTTTGGCGGCATAATTAACCTGCTGCTAAAATATTATCTCACCCAGTTAGTTGATGTTTCAGTTCTAGTGGACTCTCCAATCATAGGGCTGTCCTAAGAATACGTGACCTTCTACGAGTTATAGCAGTTTCAACTCACATCTCATATCTCTATTTGTCATCCGATAGCCATTCGGCAATTCCCTTACTCTAGTTTTCTTGACCTTGACTATTTGCTTAACTTTTTTCACTCTCGATTGGAATTGATTACATTCCTAAGGACGATCAGTCAAGCAGCTGGCTATAATACAAACAGAGTTAAAATCCTTTGCAAATTGTAAAATTGTGAAAAGGACAGAACAATAGTGACGTTTCTTCTGCCATCGTTCCACACAGCAAAATTTTCAACCCCAACACTTGGATAATTGGCTCTCCACCACTGTGCCCTTTTTAAGACACTTTTTGCCTCGCGCTACCAACCTGTGGAACAAGATATCGGCTGCGGTATTTCCAGACCGATACGACCTTTTAACCTTCAAGAAAAGAGCGTACTCCTGCCTCAAAAGCTGGCAACGCGCTTGTCACTCCTGAGTTGCAGGCTTTCATGGGCGGCGGTAGTCGCTTTCCAGCTGGTGACCCGTCTGCTCGTTTGCATATTCCATAAAAAAAAGATCATGATTCTTTAACGTAATACTTTAAAGTTAAGCCTAGTTTAGGTCACGATACCGTTGTGTAATTTGTTGTTGATTCTACAGACACTACATTTTTTTTAACGTTGTAATTTCTGAAATCATCGTCATTCAAATCATCATTATAGAATATTTAAATTCAATCCAATTGAAGCAGTGACGGTATAATTCATCATCACCGTCATCAACAGCCTTTAATAGTCCACTGCTGGACATAGGTCTTTTCTTAGAAAGGAGGTTTTGGCCTACTATACCACGCTGTCCAGACGGGTTAATATAGGGTTTGTGTCAAGTTTTCCTTCTCTTTGCAGTGCAGTTGTAATGCGTAGTTTGCTCCCTTAATGTGCTCTTACGACATCCACGGGATGAATAGGGGTGGTGACACTCCGGATTCTTAATCCGTCACCACATCTATAATTATGTAGATAAAACTGTGAGAGTTGCCAATTTATTAGTGGCGGCATTAAAAATTTGCAATGACCTAATGCCATTGTTTTTTTATAGGCACAGGTAAAAAACGCGGTATGCTTTTAATTTAAATTATTTTGAATTTATCAAGGTTCGTCACTACAATGAAAGTCTCCTGGAAGGTGGATTCCTGCCTCATCCTGGTGTGGGGCCTGTCATGGAATCAGACGAGAAATTGCACCATACATATTACCAGTGGGTGCCGTTCGTACTCTTCATACAGGCTATTTGCTTCTATATTCCTCACTACATCTGGAAGAAGAAAGAAGGTGAGTTCTATAACCTCGACAATCTATAATGTACTACAAAAATAAATAGTTTTTAATACTTTTTGTGCCAAGAAAACATTCAAACCATATAAAATGTTCAACCAAAGAGTTTTCTGCACATACCTTCCACAAGCACAAGAGTTTTCTACATCCTACCTTTTTTATCGTATCGTGTCTATGGATTTATATCCTGGCTTATTTATAACTCAATCAATTTTAAACCGAAGACGTACGTGTTATTAATCCGAGTCGATTAATTTAGGATTAAAGCAGATCAATGAGGGACTGACAACGGTAACTGATGCTTTCTTTAAGACGTTATTGTTAATACCGTGTTACGAGTATTATAACCCGGCAATCACTCGTCTCGTACCTGTTTAGGGTACTTAGGGGTGGGATACATAATGAAGACGTGTTAGGACGAGTCAGCATATGTGTTCCGGACAGATACGTGTGGCGGCGCCGCCGGCCGCCGCTGCTGGCTGTCCCGTGCGGGCGCACCAACCTGCAGAGAGAAGCACCGCTGACGAGCGCACTACGTACTCTGAATATAATTGGGGATGAAATAGATTTATTTTATTGCTCACTGAGTGAATTCACAATAACAACATTAAGAATTATTTCTTATAATAAATAAGTAGATGGTATAACACTATTGCATTGGGCTAAACCTGTAATAATAGTTGTTTTTAAAGGAAATAAATAAATAAATAATCTCGTGCGCGACTGTCCCGCGGGGTGACAGACAGTGGCGGGGGCGAGGTAGCGCGTCATTCTAGCACACGGCTACACACGAAGAGAAGTATTTCCCTTCCCCGCTACACCACCCGCTACCCGCTGACATCTTGAGTACCTCGTCCCCGCCACCGTCTGTCACCCCGCAGGACGGTCGCGCATGACGTTGATGGACTATAGTCATCAGTCACCAGAAAGTGCTGTGACGTTTGAAACGATTAATCAATATAAAGCAATTTGGATAAAGGTTATTGTTAAAATGATCTAATTTTCCAGATAATCTGGAAGCGTAAATAAACAATGCGTCATTTGATAAGACATTCTTGGTGTTTAATTTGTTTGTGGTTGTCCTAGATCATTTGTCAAAACAAGATAGTTAAGGAAGTTAAATTGAAATACAAAATGTTACAGATTAGACTGCTTAAATATTGAGAGACCATTAACCTATATTATTCTCTGCTAATTCAGATGATGACAATACACATACACACATACACAAATTCAACAAAGTTATTTACACACATACACTATCAAAACACACACATGACTGCACGGGGATGGCGTAGTGACTGAAGCGGTCACCTAGCCTAATAGATATTTATATTTGATAATTAAAATAGTTTGTCCCATTATCCTGATCAGGACCTTTAGGATTAGCAGCTTTTTCCATACCTACAAATACGGTCGTGTCTTTTGCCACGTACTAATTCGTGCGCTGAAGCATATGTGTTAAACTTACTTATTACTTTTTCAGTCTTAATAAGTGTGAAATAATCATCATTAATGACTAAAAAAGGATAAATAAATCTAAAATAATCTTAATTTTATTACCAATATCTGTAATATTTTTACAACAATTGAGATCCACCACCCAACGCTTTTTTAAGATAAAATAATTTTTCTTTTTGAACTTATAGAAACTCATTTCATACTTTTAGTTCGGCTTGCTTCAAAAACGTTTTTTTTAGTTTTTTTAACTATAATTTATTTTTATTAGTATTATTAGATTTTCTTTGTGTTCTTAATCTTTGAAACTCACTCAATCAGATTTAAATAATATTGATCGAATTGTGTAAGTAATTATTAGAGAAGTTAATGGTCTGTAAAATATCACCCTACGGCGGCGCAGTGACCTTAAGACGTAGATAATATGGGAAATGTCTAGTTATAATAGAATGGTGATTTATTTTTTATTTTATAAAATTCAAATTGAGGCACAAATCTGAGGAAAAAATATTATTTATTTATGAAATGAATGAAAACGTTTTCATTAAATTATGTTGTTCAGGTGGCAGAATCCATGCTTTAGTCCAAGGATTGCAGTACGCAGCGCTAGCTCTGGATAATGATGACATGAAGGTCGGCACCATGGATGTGCCTTCCAGGAAGACCATCAATGAACAAATAGATTTAATACGAAAAGATATTGTTTTGAGGTGAGATAATTACAAATCCATAAAATTGTATTTTGCGATACAAGCCGAATATCTGGTCTCAAATATTCGGCCTGTATCGCAACAACTTACAAACTTGACAAGTTATCAGTCTGCCTCTATCCAGTCCTGTCTAAAAGGGGAAAGGAAAGGGGTAAGCACAGGTGTATAAACATTTGCCGACTGTAATTTTGTTCCCACTCACTCAGTTGAGAAAAAAAGGGTGGGAATCCACCTCACGAGTTCTGGCTAAGCAATCATAAATAATGTATAATGTTGAATGGTAAATAAATTAAAATAATAAATAAATAATAAAAAATGACTAACCTTATTGCTTTTCTTGTCTGGACTGTAGTGTGTAACCTAAAAAATAATAATTAGATAACTGTTTTAGTTATACGTTAGTTAACGAACAAAAAAAGTTGCTTAACACCTGATTTCATGTATGTATGTATACATGAAATTTCAACGAGAGAGTGGGGTTACCGGATTCCAAACCCGTCTCAAATGAGGAAATGGGACTGAGACTCCTGTAGCCGGCCCTGTAATTGATGAGGCCACTAGAAAAGAGGCACCAACTGGGTTTCAATACTTTACAATAAAATAAAATAAAGGGATGTACATTCTTTCTTAGGGGAGGCCTATGTCCAGCAGCGGACTATTAAATGCTGTTGATGAAAGGGATGTACGGTCTCCTAATAGCTTTCATGTTTTTTTCTGTTATCTATAAAGTAATTTCACCAAAAGGAAATGTCTAATTGGAAACCGGCGAAACGCGCTATTTGATTTGACTAATAAGAAAAGTCAGATTGTTAACAATAAGACTAGATATCGCCTGGTGTCAGAGTTTAACTATCATTATCAACAGCCTTTAATAGCCTACTGCTGGACATAATCCTCTCCTTGGCAAGGAGGTTTTGGCCTACTATACCACGCTGCGCGAACGGGTTGGCATTGGGTATGTTTCAAGTTTTCCTTCTCTTTGCAGCGCAGTTGTCCTGCGTAGTTTGCTCCGTTAGTCGGCCTCGTACGACACCCACGGGATGAATAGGGGTGGTTACAATCCGTATTCTAAATCCGCGCTGGCTTCGTACGAGTACAATGTAGATAGTAACATGGTGTCAGTGTCGAGTTATACATATAAACCTTCATCTTGAAGCAGTCTCTCTATTGATGAAAACCTTTAAAAGATCTAAGCGCATACGCGCGGCAAGCGACTTCATTTTATACTATTTAAGATTATCCAGAAAAGATACTGTTCACGAAGGACAAAAGAATTACTTTAACACGAGCTAAACCGCTGAGCTAATACTTAAGTGTTTTTTTTTTCTCCCGCACTAGGAATATATCCTGTGTCGCGGGGGACTTCACAAACATACTTGAAACGGACACAGAGAACACCCAGACTTAGGATAACAATTTGTGGATCACACAAAGTGTCGTCCCATGCGGGGATCGAACCCACAACACTCAGCGTAGTAGTAAGCGGCGTGGCGACCGTTTAAACCACTACGCCATCCGTAATTGTTGAGTTTTATTTCAGGTTGAAGATAACTCGCACTTGGTCGGTTTGGTTGGTGTCCATGGAACTACTCAACTTCCTACACGTGATGTTCCAAATATGGCTGATCAACAAATTCTTGAATGGACACTTTATTGGGTTAGGCTCTAGAATAATGAGTTACCGTAATTGGGAACACGGGATAGCTGATCCACTGGAGACTGTATTTCCTAAGGTGAGAAAATATATGCATTCGAAAATGTTTTTGTATTTTCCATTTAAATTAGGAAATTTGTTTTTCAAGAACACGAAGCAAGTAAGTACTTTTTTGGGGAAGGCCTACGTTTAGCAGTGGACGGCAATAGGCTGGCAAACAAGAAGAATATAATTTCTTTAAAGCCGCAGTCTTAACAAAATATACAAAGCAGAAACACTTCACACTTGACTTTACTTTTAAAATGATTACGACACATTAAACTCAATCACGCCTATATCTTCGAAGGGGTAAGCAGAAGCGTTAGGCGTAAGGCAAGCCTAATGTCGTTAACTACGAACTTTAGTTAGTTTTTTCTTTATCTATTTGTTGTTTATCGGCAATGCATTCCACAAGCGTACAGCTTCACAGTAAAAGAAAGGTCATACAATTTTGTGGAATGCAGAGGCATCTCTAGCCTCAAATCCTCGGATGATCTCAGACATTTTTCATGTTTGTTATTAAGGAACTTGAACCGTTCTTTGAGGTAGAAGGGGCTCTATGATTGAACAAGATGTTATCAAGGAAAGTGAGGATATGGGTATTCCGGTGAGAGCGAATCTGAAGCCACTTGAGTGGCTGAAGATATAACAGACTTCACATTTTCGGGATTCCGCGTAGTAGAACTACGCGGAATCCCGGGATAGAGTCCATAAAAAATATATTTGCAGCGTTACATGATGCATGCTTGCTCTGACTAAATTTGACTAATAAATTCAACATTTCAATTAAATATTTGAATATAAGCTAAGGGAGGAAGAAAAAGAAGGAATACTAAAAGTTCTTAATTGTTGTAGGTAACGAAATGCGTGTTTCACAAGTTCGGTCCGAGTGGTTCCATCCAGCAGCACGACGCTCTCTGTGTGATGGCGCTGAACATCATACACGAGAAGATTTATGCCGTGCTGTGGTTCTGGCTTCTCTTCTTGTTCATTGTCTCTTTTCTCGGTAAGTAAAGGACCTCAAATCTCTTTGTCCTTATTATCCGTTAATGTGTAAGTGAGCGTCTGAATATGGGGAATAATATTGAAAACCACATTCACCGATTTTGTTGTTGAAGTAAGAAAATATTGATGACGTGTAGAATTAAAAATATATTTATAAGGGTGATGTGTAATATTTTAACATATGAAACTAAGCTAAATAAGGAATGTGTTGACGACGAGAGAGTGAGAATATCATTCCTTAATATATTGTATCGCTATTTATGTTAGTTTGAGTCGCGACGTTAATTCTTGAACGTATTTTATTTATATCCACTTTATTAGTATATTTGTAACAAATCTCTTTCATTTATTTAAGCTTCACGTTTTAATATTTTTTCTTTTCCAGCGATCATCTGGCGAGCTATCACGTACTTCGCTTACCGTCGGTCGTTGCGTTTCAACCAGGTGTTGTTCAGACGCGTGAACGAGGCCAAGTTTGAACCCACCAACGTGATCAGTGTCGTAAATGGATGCAAATTCGGGGATTGGCTGTTTCTCTACTATTTGGCGAAGAATATGGAAGGCATAATCTTCCAGTAAGTCAGATTTATATTTGATAGTGGGAATTTAGTGACTTCATGGACAGTGGTTGTCGACCGTCAGCAAATTTGTTACTACTTTCCAACAGTGTCATAAAATTTAGTGTGCCCAAGGATCCTGGCATGGCCTTAGACGGCCTTGATATCCTGTCCCAACTGCTGCTATTCATCATCATCATATTCCCTTTTTCTAAATTTATTTGGGATCGGTGCTATGACTTCTCTTCTTTCATTCTTCTGAATCACTCGACATCTTCTTTGACGCACTACTTCATTTCGTTGCGAAATGGTTTGGGTTTTTTTTATTGGTTCTGCCTGCTATTGTAACCCGAAATTACCACAGAATACCAGTCAGTACCTAGTCATAAGTTTAAGAGAAAATTCTAAATCCCAAATTTATTATTCGGCGTCGATAAAGAAGTTAGGTCTTCGTGTCGGCAGACAGTTTTACTTTTGCCGAATAGGCGATCTATTCATACTTTAAGAATGCAGCAGACACGTGCATATCAAATAAAACTACTGTAAACTGTAAATTGAATGAAAACTATTATTCTAAAGACAATGTATTTTCTTTCGTAAACAACAATATTTAACTTAATGAAATATATACATATGTATAGATGAGATGTATCATCATCCACTGCTGGACATAGGCCTCTCCCATTGCATGCCACTTAGATTGATTTTGGGCTTCTCGCATCCAGCTCCTGCCAGCCACTCAAGAACTCGTTTTCCCCAAAGGTTGTCGGTTCTGCGGCTAATATGGCCAGCCCACTGCCACTTCAGCTTGCTGATCCGGTAGGCTATGTCGGTGACCCTGGTCGATGAAAGATACAGAAGACCAAATAAAAACAGATACTGAAAACATCTGCAATACATTTGTAATATTTTCTTTGTTTGCAGGCAATTGTTAGTCAGGCTCGCGGAAGAGCTGCAGGCAAGTGAGATCCCATCGAATGAAGTTACAGATGAAAAACCTGGAGCTGATCCCGTCCTTATCGGAACCGTGAACTACGATGATGAAACCCTCCCGCTTAAAGAAAAGAAATCATCGTAGTGTAAATGATGAATCGATTTATTTGTGATTAATGTTTAGAACAAACTGTGGATATATCAGGGCATTGTATTAATGAATGTATTTCATGTTTATATGTCGATATTGAATGTATGGAGTTGTGTATTGATGTATAATTTTATTTCTGAGCTGATTTTGGTGGATATTCGCAGTAAATATCGTTTATCGAGTAATAATCGATGAAGATGTTTCAGATATCTTGTAGTATTAATCATTACCTGGCGACTGACTTTTTTTTAATAAATCGTGTTTTTCCAGAAAACACACGTGTAGAAATAAACTCTGAAAACAACACCTCATCTAAATATCAAATTTGATCTAAATCGCTAAACCCGTTTCCGAGATACATGAAATATACATAGAAATACAAATATTGCTCTTCCAAAGATGTCTGGTAATTGTTTAGACGGCTACGAAGCCATTTCGATTTGTGTAAAATTAGATTTATAGAGTTGAACAGGGTTATATTGAAATACTTTTTATAGGTAAGGTATTAGGAATTGAAATTGAAGTGTGGAAAGGCGCCGAATAAGACAACAAACAAATTAGACCCGTAATTGGTTAAGTAATAAAGATCCAATCATTATTGTGATATCAAAACAAGGTACTATTTTTTGCATTTAAAAAAAGTTTTGGGTTACTTAAAAAAAAAAGCAAATCTATCAATATTTTTAAACCAAAAACAATTTTACGAATATATTAACAATTTTATATTATATTAACAAAATGATCAAATTTCAGGAAATTTAGTTCACAATGAAAGTTGTTTGGATCATTTGGGTCAAATTTGTAAAGAATGTTACATATTGTACTATTTTAAATAAGGTATTTAATTTTTTTTTGAAGAATAAAAACAAACCAGGTAAAGGCCGTAGCTAAAATTGGACATTTTAATACGCCTGTACTTTTTATCATATCAGTCAATGAAAACACTGCAATTTTTTTCTATATTTTAAATGTTGTCCAGTATTTAATGTACTCGTATAAACGCCATAACAATATTAAGTTTAGGCCGTAAAAAAAAACCTGAATAACAATCGCATTTTTTTGTTTTTAAACTAAATGTCGACCAGCAGTGACTTGTGTACATAAAAGTTATGTCTATTATAAAATCGACAATAGATTGCCCAAGCTGCCCATAGATTATATTTTGACAGTATTTTGTATTATGTAAATATTAAATGAAATGTATTTTATTATTTAATTGCTAAGTAACAATGTATAAATTGTCTAGTCCATTGAATGTGTGTATAAGTTGTATAAGTTTATGTTAATAAATTTTAGTGTCAAAATTTTAAAGTATTTTTTTTGAGTTTTTTTTTAATTAAATTCGAATTAATTTTAAAAACAAGAAAAAGAGGTCTAGAGGGGATATATACTTTAAACACATAATCTATGAGTTATTGTAAGAATGCATTTTTTGTAAGGAATAAATCAAGTTGAATTAAAAATCTTTAATGATTAGTTGAATTAGTTGAAACTAGTCGGACTGCAGGCTGTCAGGCATATAAAGATCAAGCCTGACAGACTGAGGCCTCAGATCAAATAAAAAAGTTACACGGTTATCTGTGAACAAAGATAGGCCAATTGAAACTACACATTGTCAGTCAAAACGTCATCAGGAATGTCAACAATAATTACTAGTAAAAATGCCGAATTGTGTCGTGAAAGGGTGCAAAATTCAAAGTACAAGAGATAGATGGTAGGATGGAATCGCATTTCACACATTAGTAGGCGTAAAACTAGCTTAGAAAAGATTATGATGGCCCATGCAAATAAATATGTTTATAAAACCGGACTTACTTCGTTCTTCTCAAAGTTCAGTTCTTCAAAAGGTAAAAAAGGAACCCTTATAAGATCACTTTCTTGTCCGTCTGTCCTTGTGTCACCACCGATTTTCATAATATATATATAAAAATAATAATATAAAAATCAAGGTCCTGAGTCAAGTCTACTTACAAGTTTTCGATTTTCACGAAAACTTGTAAGTACCAAAATTTACCTTAATTTTCAACTTTTTTTATTTTTCAGAATTTATTGATCTGAGACTGAGGCTTATTAACCCCTCAAATTGCCCAGCCAACCACAGAGCTCGATTAGAAAGAGATACAGGGAACTATCTATTATCCATCTCTCTCGATGCCTATATTGCAAGATTGGGGCTCTCGTTCACTCTATGCTTGCAAGTGTCCATGAGCGGTTGCAGTCACTTATCGTGACGCGAGCCGGCTCTTCGTTTAACCCCGATATTATCACTTCTAGTCGTGATCGAACTCGCTTTAGAGAGAGGAATCCTCGATCTCCTAATATTTCCTCTGTTCCTTCCCAAACCTTGCTCAGTACTCATTTTTTCGCAGCCTTGATATTATGAATCTGGTGGTGTCTAATTTGTTCATCAAATGTAGGTACGTTTTGGTTATTATTTTTTAATGACAAAGGTACCGTTTAGTAACTTGTACGTGTAAATACTTTTAATAACGCCAATGAAGACACTTTGCGGTTTTAACAATTAGCACTAGCCAAAATATTTACTATTGAGGAGGCGTGCGTTTGTTTTGATAACTGAGTGATAAGGAAATATAAATAATATACAGATATTTTGACGCGACCTTTTTTGTTCTATTTCAGTTGGTAAACAATGTGTTGGAAAACAATTATCATTATGTACAACAAAATGGTAACTTAAATAGATTACCGACATTTTTAATATCCTTAACCTAGATGTAAGTGTAAATAAAAGAAATTGCTTAAAATGTGTAGATATATTTTTAAATAAACTGGCATAGTACGTAAATTTTTTAAAATTTCGCTTCTAGAGTAGTAATAGTATTATAAAACACAGTAATCAACAGCGTTCGAAAAAGACTCACTATGAACTTCTTTGTTACTATCGTAAACGTGTTTTTGCAAAAGAGAAAGTTAATTCTGGTTTACCCAATCTTCGTTTTCGTCTTGCCAATCAACAACTCCGTCTTTTTCTTGCAATCATTCTGAATCAGTGTCAATATTTGGACATTCTTCTAGAAAATACATTACTAATCCTCATGCAATGTCTGATGATACGTGAGTCCTACTAACCTCATCTCGGTTATCATAAATCTGCTTACGTGGAGAAAGACAGGATCACTCACTTTTAAATTGTTACCGAAGTGTGAGATAATCGTGGGAGAGACACGTTTCAGCATAAATGGGCTAACTTAAACAGCGTTTAATTGTCTAGTAATAGAAAGGAGGTTTTGGCTTACTATACCACGGCGGTCAAGAATACGGAGTGTCACCACCACTATTTATCCCATGGGTGTCAAGAGCCGACTAAGGAAGCAAACTACGCAGAAAAAACTTGAAACAAGCCTTATACCAACCCGTCTGGCCAGCGTGGTAATACCATAACATGCTGGCCAACCTCGTATGTCCAGCAGTGGTCTATTAAAGACTTGATAATGATAATAAGAAGCGTATTAAACGCTCACATTTTAACGACTATAATTTTAGTCCCACAATTGGGGGCATTAAGGGCAAGCTTATTGCGGTCTAAATCGATACTTTATTGCTCGTACATACGATATTGCGTATACGGTACATATCGATTATATAATATCGACTAACTTAATGCCCAGGACATTATCTACCAGCCAACCTTTAGGTGGTGTGGAAATGTAGGAAGTTAGGTGCACTAATATTACAGTTTAAATGGTAGTTTTAAAGCCTTTTTTATCCAAAGTTATATACAATTAACACTACATAGATATTCATAGATACATACATAAATATACATTTATATACATTTATAAATACATAACAACAATCAACAAGTGTATTTACAACAACAAATGTTTTTTATCCATTCATCGTTCTAGAAATTACCGCGTCGAACAAAAAAAAATCTTCTCCTTTATAGAAGACAACTGTTAACTTATAAACTTTGGTATTTTAAGCGATTATCATAAATAGTAGCTTGTAATACAGAGGACCGCCATCTTGTTTATATCGAGTTGTGCTTTCTCCCACAAGCCCATAAGTCGCCCATGCCCCGTCAGATTGTTGACCCTACCGAATGCTGCGGGACGCTGTAACCCGACTTCGAGAAAAAAGGTTACTAGGTTTAACTGTTATCTCCTTTGTGTACCTAACGTTTTGTTGCTTTGTGTGAATTGCCACTAATTAGAATAAGTTAGTTCTTACTTGGTTGGTTTAGAGTTATGTTGCAGGCCGTTTGAGGCCGATCGAAAAGAAACTAAACAAAATACGTTCGCAGTTACATATTTTAGTTAAGTATTTATTTCAAACCTTATTATCGATTATTCTCTTGCAGTCAACTTTTAGAAATCTTGTAAGGTAGGTGCATAAATATTACATAAGTAATCAATGAATATATTTTATAGTTCATGGTGTGATAGATGTATTAAAAATATATTACGTAAATAAAGGCTAGAGAAAAAATAAAAAATGAAGACTTTGGGCCCTACATCGGTATATATTAACTATTATCGTATCTTTTTTTTAATATTTAATTATTTTAGGATATTCCAATGAGTTTTGTTGAAGACAATGAAAAAGGGCAATAAACCAACTCAGCCTAACTCTCGGAATACATTATAGTGTTATGTATTGATTTAAAGTACCAACGTGATTTTACTTGATAAGTTCATCCGCGATCATGGCGCTTGCAATAGATCTGAAATACCGCAAACTAATTCCCGAAAATAAACGTTTCTAAAAACTTCTCAAACCAGTGTAGTGTAGTAGTTGCAAAATTGCAAACACGCTCTTTCCAAGCTACCGTTAGTTTCAAGAGAATATTGTATCATACAAATTGCATTGGGAATGCTCTCCCAGCAGTTATTTGAAATTCGATTCTTGATAACCTGTGACATGCATATAATCCCCTCAATATATTCATATCAAACACGTGTTAAACAGTGAACAAATAACGATATATCTTTCTTTGTTCCAGAACAGTGATCTTGTTTATTTTATATCAT